TGCAGTCTTTTTTGTATCACTGTAATAATACTGGTTCTTGACAAGCCAGAAAAGGAGCCACACCGTGCACTGGGCAGACGGTACAGTGGTGACATGCACTAGCTGTGTTCTCCAGAGAGACTACGGCTGAGGGCTGACTAACTGAAAGTGTTGGAAAGTTTTCATTAGATCCCATGGCTTTTGACACAGATCATGAGACCTTTTAAATTCTTCAGAAGTTGACAGTATTGGGTCTCTATTGTGATCACATGCTTTTGGCTCTACTGAAGCACAACTATTTACTGTATTATAATTTGGGGTTTTGATGGAATTAACAATTACCGTCTGGCACAAGGGGTCCCATGGCATTATCAGGTTATCACACACCCATCAGGATGTGATCTCTTTCTATTCTGTTTTTAATAGATAACAAAAAATAATATTCACATGTTATAATACTCCATATATAAATATTTATAACAAGTTATATTCTGCATTTAAATATTTATCACACATTTCTGAAAATGAAACCATTTATTCCATCCAGTTAAATGCATGCATCCAAAATGAAAAAAAAAGACTGATATTTAAATTGTACCATCTGAGCACTGACTTATATAAGAGAATCCAACTGTAAATGAACATAAATACTTGAAAAGCACTTTCATTACTCATATAACTTATATAAAATTGTAGCTCTGAGTTTTTTTTAATATATATTTATAACATTGCACTTGCAAGGCTATTTAAAATTGTAATGTTAACATTTAAAATGTTAATATTTTTTAATACTTGCACAATCTATCAGAATTCCAGTATTTAGTGTTATAGAAGAAGCCTAATTCATCTGAATAGTTCTGTAAATGCATCATTTTAAATGTAGGGTCTAGCAATTCACTGAAATAACCAAAATTTCTCATTTAGATCCTTTTTTAAGCCAGTGAAATTTTATATTGTTTCTGTTAAAATACTTGCATTGTGTTTGTCTGACTGTTTGAATTTTCAGTGTTAACCTAACTAAGAAAAAGTTTCATCTGTGTTTCATGCCAGTATCTTCTGATGGCGCTAACATGAAGATACCGTTTACATTAATTGAATGGGTATTTTAAAATTAGTGTTTGCTTGAACAGTCATAATACTACTGTTTGCAAGGTATAATTGTGAATTTGCAGGGTTTTATGAAGAATCTCTATGCAGATGCACTACTGATAAGAAGTTATTAATGTCAAGTTAATATAGTCTTCCATTTAGCCAGGTTTGGGGATCGGGGGTGTTTTCCTTAAAACAATCAACTATTAGATTTTTCCATAAACTCTGAAGTTTGCTTTAAATACTCAAAGATAAAATCCCCACCCATTGCTTGTCAGGTTGTTGGGTTTTTGTGTTTGGTTTTGTTTTGGGTTTTTTTTCCCCATTAAGGCTCATTACAGTTACCCAAAGGCATTGTATAATGTATACAATTGATGACTGTGGAGACCCTCATGTAAAATGGCTAGTAAAATAGAGCATGTAAGTACCTGAGGTTGAAGTCTGCTGGAGATGGTCAGTAGAGGATAATGTGTAAGGAGAAGGGAATGGATTGTGGTTTAAAGTCCAAAGGCAAGTTACAAAGAGTTATGTCACATAGTATAGCACATAAGTGGAAGTTATGCTTTGTTTCCAGTTTTGGATTCTGCTGCCCACTTTACTGTGTGGCCTTTAACAAGTTACTAAAGAAAGATTTTCAGTAATAGCTTTAGATTTTGAGTGCTCAAACTCAGTCTTTCTTTCAAAAGCATGAAACACAAGTGGAGGGATACCTACGTTCATCAAGCCGAGCATAATACAAGCTGGACACTGAAAATCAAAGAAAAACTGGAAAAAAAGTTGATCCTAACTTCTCTCTGCAGATGCAGATCATTTTACTTCCCTACTGCTAATGATTGTTGTGAGGATTAGTTAACTCATGTCTGTAAATGCTTGGAGAGCCGTAACTGGAAAGTGCTGAAGAGGTGCAAGGTGTTAATATATTGTACTGAAAGAATGGAAGCATGAGAAATCAGAAAAAATGAGCAAATAAGGGGGGGCGGGGGGGATGGAAGAAAACCTTCTGCTAAATACAGCCAAATAAAAATATTTTGACTAAATAAAACACCCATTTCACTTGTGGGTTTTTTTTGTTGTTGTTGTTCTTTCCAGTGCTAGTGATCTTTTCTACTACCTGTGTATAATACTATTTATCAAAAAAAAAAGTGTCATCTGATTAAAAGACAGTAGGTGGAGTTTACCCTCAGAAAGACACTTGCTCTCTGCTACTTGGACTACACTAGAAGTCTAGCACTTCAGTGTAGATACCCAAGCTGGATGTCTGCATGCTATCTTTCTTTGTAGACTTCTTTCTACATAGGATACTGTGACGGACTGGTGACAAGACAGTGGTTTCGATCTGGAACAACTCAGCCATGTTCTCTTCCACTGTGTTCATTCATATTTTCTGCTGGATTCATATGCACGAAGCACAGATGGGTGGCAAGCTGTTCTTGACAGAAATAGTATGAGAGAAAGGGTTGTGATGACACTGAGGAAAAACTGGGAAGAGGAAGAAGGCTGGCTGATGGAGCACCAAGTGCACCAGCAGCCCCAGAGTCCCAGGCCCAGCCTGCAGCCTCAGCACACGAGACAAGGCGCATCCAAGCTCCTTCCCGGGCCTTGCCTGAGCTCTGCTGTAGGTAGTCCTGTACCCAGCCCTCTTGCCTGCTGCTCCCAGCTTCTTCACTTGTCTTTGATCTGGGATCTGACTTGTCACCTTGCATTTGCCTGATGGTTACTGGACGGTCAACAGAACCTTCTTCTGTCACCAGCCCAGCCCCATGTTTCTGTGCTCGGGATGGTGGGACTGTCCCTTTGGAGAGAACCCTGCCCTGCCTAGGCTGGGGTTGTCTTCCTCCATGGAAGGAAGGCACTCTTGCAGCTTGCTGACAAACACAACTTGCGTAGTTACCACTGTAACTCCAGGTTCAAGAAAGGAAAGGACTGGCCACCAAGGAAGCCAAAACCTGTAAAAACTAGGAAAGAGTAGGACTTGTAGTGTTTCCTCAGGCAGAACACAGTACCCAGAGCTATTCTGTAAGTGCACACAGACAGATAAACTAGCAAAGTGTGTATAGCAGAAAGAAAAGGGCACACCTAAAATCACTATCAGGATTTCAGTGTGAAAAGAAGGAAGACATATCCGATAATCAAACTGATACAACAGTGTGATATGCAGTGTTCTTAAGGATGGTCTTTTAAATGCCTGAGCATGAAAATCAAGGATATCTGCAGAAAGATCTGAAACTGCCAACGAAAATTATTTGTGCTAGGACTTCTACACAATGTAAAAATGGAAAAGAGCATCCTGAAAGGCATGAGGGTACAGCTAGGGTACAGCCTGATGTGATTCTTTTTGAGATTTCACAGAATACAGAAGGCCTGGACAGGCTGACATAGTCATCATCTGCTAGTTGCAAGTTGTAACGTGATACTACACTAGAAATCACCACCAGGGCTCTTCTGGAGAATTTCCTGGGAATTAGAAGAACCCAAGTGACTAGTCTGTGGCCATTTTTATTGTGTGACCACTCAGTTTATGAACAACAATCATATATTCAATGGAATAGTTACATAAAATTGTATATGGGGAGTCATATTTCTATTGTGCTTCAAGAACCAGTTTTTAGACTTTTTATAGATACCTGTTTTTATTTAAAAGATTAAATCCCTAGTGATAGTTTGTAAATCTGGAGCCTGGAGAAGGATAAAACTGAGGCCTCTCCTACAGAATCATGGGGCTTGCCTGGTAAGATGTGCTCAGGCCAACAATTTGTGTTTCAAGAGGCCAAAGGTAAGATCATATATCTAAAGGTAAATAATGTATCATTCTCAACATAAAAATAAAGAGATCACATTTCAGACCACTTGCCTCTGTAAAACAGTGCTGTTGGTATTTAGAAATAACTGAATTAGCAAGTTGCAGGCATTGGATCAATATATGCTTCAATACTTCCGGCGTCGCTACTCATGCTGACCTCCAAAACGTCATTGTGACTGTAAATCAAAATACAGGGAAAGCTCAGAGGGTGGCTACTTTCCTCTCTTTAAAAAATTATCTGCTATACATAACAGCCATTTTTAATTTTATTTTTCAGTATGGAATTGGAAAATTGCTAGTTACCTAAACCACAAGGAAACAGTTGCTCCTAGGCAGCCTGTGCTGTGGGCAGGAGCCAGTGTCAGGGTCATCTGCTGGGGCCCTTGGAGTGTTTTACCAACATAAGGGGATGGTGCTGTGCCAGTCAGAATTGTGTGCAAGCTGGGTTTAAATGGCATAGGAAACGGATGTCTGTCAACCACATTTGCTGACAAATTTAATGTAATGCTAATGGGGTGATGATTGACATAGAAAAGGCACCGTTGAACAGGACAGCC